ATCCATGAAGTCCTGCCCTCTCAGATACACAAAATCTAAGGCCACCTCCCCTCTCGGCCCGAAATAATCAAGCCCCAAGATCTCTCATCAATCCCTGGACAGAAGCACCCACCCTCTCGAAAACCCTAAGAGAAATCCAAATACTCACTCAAGCGCGCTTCTAAATTCCAAAGTTCCCACAGCCGTACTAGCCAATAACGGTGTGAACACAAAATATGACCGTGGAGAAATAACAACTGTTTGATATTTCTTAGGATCCAGTTGACGAGAAAGCGTGAAGCCTGACCAGCCCGAGCCAAGAATTAGGACTCTTTCACGGTCTGTATGTGTTAGTAGGCGGACCGGTGTGTACTGGGCATTGAATATTGGGTTTCGAGAAAATGAAAGAGATAAGATATATGTATGAACGGATAGGAGTCAAATAGAGGGGCTACAAACCGCCTTTCGAAGCGTCGAGTTCACGTGTTGAGATACATCTTGCACCGGCACTCAAGCCCGGTGCCTGTCCACATTTGGAAGTCGATATGATTTTGGGTAGTCTCCCAGCATATAGAGCCGAGCCCCTAGTTCTCGAGGTAGCTAAACTACAACTCATTATGTATCATATAATGTTCCCTCCCTTTGATGTGCAATCCACCAGTCTAAAAGGCCCAAATTGTAGAGGAATATCAAAGATCAAATACCAGAGGAACTTCTCACTGAATAATCACGATACAGAAATAAGAGTTAAAATGAACATGGTGAGAATTCCGTACCGACTTTCTCCGAATTTGAGTATTCAATATCGATTCGATATCGTGGTGATACGGCGATGTGTGGATATGCTTGGCGAAGATGACCTCACCTCCACTGAATTTGCGGATTGCGGACACAATGGAAAGTCCGTATTAACCCGAAGAATGTTACAACAGGTGTTGAAAGAAAGGGGTGGTACAGATAAATGTTTCGCAACGAAGTTGATGGGATGGCAGTGCAGTTATAGCTTTCAACCCAACCAGACATTCAAGCTATAATTGTCGAGGTTGTATACCCCTATCGTCTCAAGACCTACTCTGTATACCTACACGCAGAAGCGAGGTTCGATCTACTTACAATCCCAATTTCGTATGCTTCTAGCAAGAGTATATCGAATTTGTAAATCAATATTGGCGATAGATTTCGCAAGGTGACACACACTTAGGTTATCGATAACCTTTGTCTTTAAGCCATTCTGAAGAGGTTAACAGGAGAGCTTCAAAGGGATTGAAATGTGGAAACAAGTCAACTATCAGACAATCAGGAATATGAAGATGAATGAATGTCAATAAATTTCCTATCCACCCGACGTGTGTTTGCGATAAAGTCAATGAATTTCTTCTCTACGGGGCAAAAATAGCTTACCCCAGTCAGTGAGATTTCAGTAAGGCTGAAGAAGGTTAATCACAAAGCTTCAAGCTTCAAGCTTCAAGCCTTGTATCGTAGAAGGCTCCCAAATACAAACACAACATATAACCGGGTACAACCACGACAAAATTATTCACGCCATCACACACATTCTTATTTCATGGCGCCAATACGTAGATATCTGCGCATTAGCAAATATTCTGTCCTCGAATGTCGCATATATGTCGACAATCCAGCTTTGGCAGAAAGTTGGCTACTCAATTCAAGAAACCCAATCTTGCCCCGAGTCATCGAGAAGGTTCGTCCACTGGTTCTGCCAAAGTTGCGCGAGGAGCAGGAAAGGAGCAAGTCGAAAGGAAAGAAAAAGGGCGTGAAGGATGTTGTGAGTGATGGTGAGTGGAATCGCTGAGAGCGTCTACAACAACGCAACATCCATTAACAATTGTCGGCAGAGGACTTCGAAGTATCGATATTTTTGACGGAAACCAGTACACGGCATTCTATCATTTTCAAACACAAGTATTTTCGAGATAGAAACAAGAAAGCTTTACAGTCGAATTCCGACAAACTTACTGGCAATACGAATGATGCGCCAATTGAGGTAGCTGATGGTCCAGCGATTGTGAGAGAAGCAAGCGAAGAATCGTTTTCTCTACAAGACATACCTGAAGTAGGAGATGATTCAGATTTGTTCATTAGTGAAGATGAAGGGCCTCGCGGATCAAAACGTTCAAGAATTGGGCGGGAATCTACAGACTCTGACTTTGGTCCTCTAGCGAAACGTCGGAAAGATGGAGAAGTATCAGAGGATGATGACGACAAAAAGAAGATGGCAATGGATACATCTTACGATGGATTTTCAGTGAACGGTCGCGTGTTATGTTTGGTCGTCAAACGGAAAGACAAAAAGGGCAAAGCTCCAGCTGCCAATGGAGGTCAAGTAATGATGGAGGATTGGATCACGTCCACGCAGATGCCACCACAGCTAGATGATCTATGAGATCCAAATTTCCAAATTGCATCTACTCGCATACAACATCCAATGAAAGGCAGCTTTGGGGACTTCCACGACTGCGGAAGAGCCATAACCGCATCCCCAGACAAACCAGTGGTCTTGGTAATGCTTACACGATAATCAAAAGATATCTGGAGAACGGACTTCCAATTAAACCTTTTATTTCAGAGAAGCCAAGTCTTTTGATATGTAAACTTTTCAAGAGAAGAAAAAGTTAAAATGTCCGCTTGTCAAACTCGGCGAATTTGGAGACACATATTGTCCGAAAAGGTCAATAGTTGAAAGCACTCTCGAAGGAGTTTGGCTTCAGTGCCTGCATCTTCGTGCCTCTGCCCAAAGCTCTGCTTTACCGTCGATCATTTTACCGTTATATGGTGCTATGGCAGATTGTGTGACGATTGGTTCATCGCGGCATTTGTAAGGTTTGGGTTATCCCCGTTTCGTAGTGAACGTCTGTGAGAGTGTCCTGGTTGTAGATCTAGACCTCCATCACCCATAACTGGCCTTCAAACCCGGGGTAGTGTGTCCTGATGGCCTCAGCTCAACATTATACTCTTCTAAGCACAAACTTATTATCTGGCGAGCTCTTGATCATCAACTCTCATACGTGTTGGGTTGGAAGACATGCAGGTGCGAGGAAGTTGAAGCATGGAAGATGGTCAGCGCAGAGTAAATTCGACCTGATGCCGATGTCACAATTTGTCCTGTATGCTCAATCTTTATCATTGGCCTATCAAGCAAGAGCCACCCCTAGCTATGTTTTGCAGTTAAGTGCATATGGCAAGTTACAAAGTGAAAACCGGCAAACAAATAAGACCAGAGATGACAGCTACAATGATCTACCTAAGCAACAGAGCCCAAAGATTTTGATGAGACAAGTGTATTCACTTCAAACTATCTTTCATCAAGGCGAGGACAAATCACCAAATAGAGTTATCACACGCTTCTGTCCCTGGATTTACTCAACATGGTCCAAGCCCTGATAGACTTCTCTCTCCGGGTCCCCCGTTCCCTCTGCCGTCTTCCCCACAAACGATATGGCACTGAAGTGCGCGCGGACCAAAAGAAATTATACAAAGTATGGTATTTTCATCCGTTGTGTGTACGTACGAGGTGAAAGAATAGTCGAGTTAAGATCAGAATTGAACTTTTGATTGGTGCGGGAGAGACGCCACCCATGCGAACGGACGGTTTGTTTCGTACACAGAACTTTTCATCACTGGGAGAAAGTATAAATCATATTTGTCGGGTAATTATTCCATCGATAAAAAACATCATGGCGTCTTGATTGTAGTGTAATTGAAGAGTCCCATTGGCAGCCATCGGCTTCGGCCGAAATGCTGCTCCGAATTGGTTCGCCGAAGAGGCTTTTCGCTTTCAGTCGATGATAGCCGTTTGCTTAACTCCCCGAAGTCTATTCTAACGTGAATTCAATCTTAACCGACGATGGTGAAACGGACCAAGGATCCTTGGAGGACCGTTGGGAAAACATGAATGGGTGAAATATTCCCAGTGGTCTGGCACCAAGAAAGAATGGTGTTAGATGTTGAAAGACTTTTACATCGATCGACAGTGTCATCATAAGCCCTTCGGCTACATTCTCTCTATTCAGTGGGAATTATCCCGTCGGCTGTTTTTTCCAAGGCTATGGGGGGAAATTCCCACTTTTTTGGTACCAATCACGTTGTATTTAGATGAAGAATTGTCCACAAGTACTGTCTCTAGGCCAATATGCTCGGACGTTGGCAATTTTGATGATGCAAATCGGGAAGTGACTATTGAGCCTGTGATCCCCATTATTCTAGATCTTGGATTCATACACTTATTATTGAATACATATAGCTTATAATGCTCCCAATATATTGCCCAGACTCTCAACCGTGTCACAGACAGCGGGGTATAGGTGAGAATTGGCGTTCTGGGTGGACCATGTGGACACAGAAACGTTTTCACTGGTATTATGATGCTGCAAACTGCTAGGACTGTATGAGCTGCATATCATCGGCGCTGTGATGGTAGATCGAGAAGTCAGAGGGTTTTATCGTATTCTCAGTTTAGCATCAAGTTGAATGTATGTGGATACGAATTATTTTTATTCTCCATGGCCGTGCGCGTCTAGCCATCGCATTCGCGTCGCCGGAGCGTCCGAAACTTCCATGGAATGCGACGGGAGACATCTGTACATGCCGTCTACGTCATAGTCGTCGTTGTTGACGGTTTCTGGGCAGTGGGCAGTGGGCAGTGCTTTTCTTTTTTTTTTTTTTTTTTGCTCCATTTTCAAAGAAACAAGAATAACGATTACTGGTTTTGTTTCTTGTTCTTGCTAAATTGAGTAGCACATTGTTTGCGATGAGGTTTATTCGAGTTTGAAAATGTTGAAGCTAGTTTCTTTCGCATGCAGGTACATTGAACTAGTTACCATATCATTGGGAAATTATTCCACACCGCCCAGCTAAGACTCCTGACCGCCTGCGGACTTCGTAGTCTACTAACATGATCTCAGTATCACAGTTCAGAATCATCTCAGCCTCGTCTGCCCATGAGTATACAACTAACACCCCTACTTCCCACGACTACGCTAGCCTTCCATTCACATGCAAGCTCAGTTAGTACCAATCCTCTCGAAGGTCAAATTCCCACACCCAACATTGGTCTCGACTGTTACAATACATCCGTCGGCAAGATCGGCTGAGAAAGAACAGGTAAGATATTTTCCAGTGAGGGTCTGGGGTGCGCCATTGTGATCGAGGGGCTCGGAATGTTGTGCTTTGAAGGTACCAACTGTCGTGGAGTATACGTTGAAATAGCATGCTTCTGTTGCTATGACAGAGAGAGGGTATGTTAGGGTTTGGGAGTGTGGTGAAGCTGGGGATATACTGGGATGGAGTGGAATGAGATATCGACGTTGGGGACTTACGGTGAGTGAGGAGAGTGATGGCTGAGAGGAAGATTGAGAGACGCATTTTGAGGGATGTTCAGTTCTTAGGTTGCTGGATGGAGCGATGTGATGCTTAAAACTTTAGATATCTAACTTATATTGAACTAGACTGCTATAATAATGATATCTTTATACACACTCCAGAACTCTCATGTCCCATTGCCACCTGCATCTCCAACTCACGCTCACCGTGCCAACTTTACGAGTTTCCAACCCAGTCTCTGCGTCTTCAGTCTCTCGACATTCGCTATCTAGGTACGAAAATCCTACGTCTTGCGTGCATATATAAATCTGATAGATATCATACTCGCTCACCCCCAATGATATCTTCAATGTTCCCCGTTACCCTGATATTATCAGATCATAACTTTTTGTTTCTTGATTTCCACACCGGACCATCGGTATCAACATTCCTTAAAGCGGAAGGAACAATTGTTATTTGTGTAATGAAGCTTGAAATATTGCTGATATGCAGGGCGCAGGCTAGGCGCGTCGGGCCAAGGGCTTCGGCTCGGGTGCCCGGGACGGATAAGGAGATTGATGTGCAGAGGATGATACGAGTGAGTGGACAATAGATGGGTGACTGATAAGGTAGCGAGAGTTTGATAAGGAAGGGTTTTGAGGACGAACGGAGATGATTGGATTTGGAATTGGAGAAAGGGAAAAGATAATTGAGATACCTGGTCATTGGGTATGAATGCAAATACCTAGTATTCATCATACTCGTAACCTCGTACGGTATTCGTAAGGTAGTGAGGCTTATCGTGTGCTCTCGTATGCTCTCGTATACTATCGTATGCAAACCCCATCATACTTTCAACACGGATGAATATTCTCGGCACGCAACCTCAGCCTCGTATGTTCCCATCCGTATTTAACCACTAGGTCTATTCTGATCTCATCACCACAGCTCAGCACCTCAACCCCCCAAAAGCTAATTTTCTATACACGAAGGATTTTTCCGGGGCAATAAATTGGAAGTGGAAATGAGTAAGACGGAGAATAAGATGACGGGCGCCACGTCGGGCGCTTATCTTACAATCCTACGCGGGCGGGTAAGCTGGGTTCCCGAGATGGATATTCTCGGTTCCTTCCTGGCGCTTACGAGGAGGGAGGGGTAAGTAGAAGGAGAGTTTTCAGGTTTGAAGGGAAGGGAAGGGTTTCGGTTTGAATAATTGAGGGATTCTTGATTAGTTATTGATGTGTGTTAAAAATACACATGTATGTGGTTTGAACAGTACTAGTCTAATGGGAAGGATTTCTCAAGAAGCTTACTAAGTGTACTCGTGTTTTAGAAGCGATAAACTTCGTAAATTTGAAAGTATATTTCGAAAAGGACAATCAGCTCCGATGACAAAGTCCGAATCTCGAAACCTTGTCGTATTTTCTAACATTCGTTCAGAATTCAGGTGAAATCTATGATCAGGTGGGTAGTGGGTAGATGATTAGAAATACAACAATTGGAATGAAACTTGGAAAATACCCATCAATACACTTCAAGCGACGGAGTGCCACCTCTCCTTACATTCTCAAACTCGACTAATTGATGATGATTTTTTCGTATGCCTTTACGTACATCTTTCCTTGGACTTCCAAAGTTCCCATCTCATTCGTGCAATTCTTCTATTATCCGAATTCGAAAGAAACTTTCTGTAGATCTCGATCCCTTTCTAGGAAATCTTCAAGTCTACATCATTAAAAAGGTTGACGTACGTGAGCAGTTCAATTGCCTGTCCGTGGGTATCCGCCATCCATCAATCTGCTCGTAAGACCACCGACCATAATGGTAGCGGATGGTATTGATTTCCCATCCGCAATCCAAGAATTAGTGCTCAACCTTAAAGTTGCTTCAGAACTACTGAAAATAGATATTCGCAAATAAAGTTCAGTACCAAGCTGTACGTACGAACATGCGAAGGTTGAACGAATGGTGAACTGGCACGGTTCTCGTTTGAGTAGCTTCTCATTCCAAGGCTTGGGATAGGAATACTCCGTCTCGAAATCCCCTTTCCCAGTTTCCATCTCCTTAACTAGAAGATTGAACTCACCGCCTTCGTACCGATATGATCCATCCCCTTTTCTAACTTCAGAGTCAAGGAACATCCTTTTTCCAGAAAACCACAGCAAGTTTCTAGAAAATTGCCTTGGAGCTTTTGGAAATTAAGCGAATGGATGTTTTGGTTTGGAGATCAAGCAATATCCTAGTACTCCACGTGGAAGAAGTTGACAGATTGTTCTTTCATTCCTTCTAGTCGCTGATCGTTTCTCGTAGAATGATGAGTCGTACCGTATAACTGGAATGTACCTTGCGTACCTGAAAACATTAATTTCCCACAGTCTGGGAAGTTTGGAAGAGTGACGGTGCGGTGTGAGAATTGTCGAGGAGGAGGAGCGGTGAGCTTGGCGGAGGTGAATTAGGAGGTGGATTCGTTGTGACTTGTTTGTTTGGAAGGATCAATATTTTGTTCCTTTTTTGTTCCTTTGGCATTCTGGACTACTCCATAGATGGATTCAAAGATGTGTAGTTTCAGCGGGCCGTATCTGTAGCCTGCACAGGACACAGTTCTTCTATCAACAATTTTTCCAGTATCGATCATTGCCTATACTACAGGCATACGTTGCAGTACACATCACTAATTCGTAAGCCCGGATTCCCAAATCTTCAGTGGCAAATTAGGTGGTTTCAACGGCATCTTCAAAAGTTCAAAACTCCTAAACTTCAAACCCCGAAAACAAAAAGGGAAAAAGAAAAACACGAGTACCTTCCACATGCATACACTATCTGCAAAATATCCGGAAATACATGTGTGTTCAAACTCAAACTTCGTCCACACCCCAGATCCTAGATCAAGCCATCCGAGTTTCCCATGTGTAAATACCGACATATTCGGCGTTTGCCTCAGCCCTGAGCCTTGAAATTCTCGCATTAATACAATCAATTCAGCGGAGACGAGTTGAAGCCCTGAATCCTGATGTTGAGAGAACTTCAATGCTTTTGATGTAAGCTTCCATGATTCCATACATGTAATCTTCCCCCCCTTGTCCATACTCGCCCCATAAACAAAGCAAACCTTCTAGAAGAAATTTCGAAGGATTTTGTTGAGACTCCACAATCTTGAATCCACCGAGCCACCGTACTCTGCGGCGTCAAGGGAGCTTTGAAGCAAGCAAAACATTCCAATGGTTCCATGCAAAAAGCAAAACCAGGAATCCCTCATCACAAATCAGGGACCTGCATTCGTATCTAAACAAGGAGACCAAGTACCGTTTACCGTGCCAGCCCTTTACAATTCGTGAGTGGTAATTTATGAAAAACCCCAGGTGGAGATCATCTCAGTGGCTGAGTGCATCTTGCAAGGCGGTCAAGAATCAAAAAGAAATTTTAAAATTACATACATATCTCCAGCTCCACGACGTGGGTGGAAATTTCGCTTTTTCTAGCCAGTTTGGGGAATTGAAGATAACACCCATGTCGACCTTTTCAAGAGTGGATCTCCTTTTCATCTGCCCCTCTGTAAAGGAGAGGAGGTTCTTCCATTTTTGCGAGAATTGCCACCGGTGACCGCATGTTTTGATACTTGCTTGCTAACTCCTTTACTTCCTTACCTGCGGAGTCACCTTGAATCGTGGTTGACTACGTAAATAGATAATATCTCCATACTCTGTATATGCACAAATTAGATATTAAGTACCCCGTCAAGCACGAAATCGGCTCGTGCGGAAACATGAAACGGGTTTGTTGTTTGTTTGTTGGTTGAAGCAGAATTGATGCATAACGACTTAGAGTATTCGTTTAACCCCTTCATTTCATCCATAGTCCATTCCTTACAACCATAGCTCTCAAATTCCATACACACTCCATACATTTTCATCTCATGTAAAATAAAAATGGGGACTTCTGGAAACTTCCGAGATGGGGTTTCAGAAGAGTTTGATACTCACCGTCAGGAGGTCACGGTCACGTTTTGGCATTGAGTATGAGATTGAGGTGGATTCAAATCCATCTGAAATGTGAGATTATTCTGAGATTGATGCGTTACGCTTGGCTGTTGAGATTCTTCGAATGGTGTTGGAAGTAGTGGAGTACATGTTATGCTGACGGTATGGGTTTGAAAGAATGCACACGTGCATGCGTGCGAAGGCCCGTCGAAGGGTGGAGTCACTGGAGTGACATGACTGTAGATGTCCTTGATAGATTTACTTTGTGTGAGAACAGGGCTATACGCAGGTACACAGTGAGTGGAGCATGACCCTGATTTTCACCATCTACAATTTTCTAGAATTTTTCTGTGAGATGGTCAGATAATTAAATTTATTTGCTTCTGATTGGCTACATTTTGCGAGGTTTGTCTTGGAGTATTTGGAAAGGCTTGGTATGTGGGGATAAATGGTACGGAGTGGCCGAATGATCTTCGCTTTTTATGTATGTTATTAATGTATTTTATGAAGATTTCTTGGTAGTTCGCAGTGATACTTGGCAGGACTTTGTCATATGCCCAAAGGGGCCCTGGGAATTGAGGCAGAGAATCTTCGGGCAGAGGTTACATGCAGCGTGAAGGTGTACTGGCGTCAAATATCAAGATTATTTCACATTACCAGTAACGGCGAGGATGATCCTACCAACTCGGGTGGATCCTCAGTTCGATTGGAATCCCATGGACAAGCTTTAGGTAAGCTTTGAGTACATGATGAGGGGAGAGAGGCACTATGAAGAGACATACGAAGGATAGTGCTCTATCAAAACGTTGAAGCTATTGATTCCAACTCTCGGACTAGCATATTTCGTCCAAGCTGAACTTCAGACTGGCAGATATATCGAGATCAACGTGCCAAACTCTCGATCTCGAGTTCTATGCGACGTCAAAGTAGTTAATGTGCCAAAGGGTAGCGGCGCACATAGACACATCAGCTCAAGAACTAAAGATGAAAATGCATGTAAACTTGGTGATTCTCAAAACTAACTGATGTCAATGTCAATATAACGAACCATTTCCATAAACTATTTCTGGAGATCTCAAAGCTTGGCATGTGTAAAATCTTGAGTTAAATTTTATTCTCACCGCATTGAAATCTTTTCTCCCAGGGCCGAAATCAAGCGCAGGCATCAAGAACGAGATAAAGCTAGCTGCATGCAATGGTGGAATCATGGTGACGTTTTTTGGGGAAATTCGATATCACGAAGATTAAAGTTGGCGGTGAAGTTTTTCTCTCATCTTTCTCGGGTTCGGTGGATGGTGGGAAATGAAAAAAAAGCTTGTCGATAACTCCGCTGTTGCATCATAATGTGATGTACTGATTGTCGTCTCCGCATCGGAATATCATTCGGTACAATTTGAAAGTGGGAAGATAGTTCTTCGTATTGATGTGATCAGGCTTCATCAGGTTTTGATCATTGAGCAATCATTGCTCAGTGGTTTGACCCATTCCGAAGAACAGGTAAAGATGGATTATACATAATAAGATACACAGTATAGGTATACTTGCACTTGAAGATACTTTTTTTTACCCGAACATATCGAAACGAGATACATGAACCCTTGTTTTACTTCAGGGTGAATAATATTCGGTTATCGAGGGAAAGAAAAATTGCTGAGATGAAGGGGATCAGAAAAAGCCGTCAAATTGGCGAAATTAATGTCCGAGAGCTCAGACAATGACAGGTGCCATCAGCAGAGGAAATCTTCAAATTTGCGCGACAAACGCCGATCTACACCATCACCTGTAAGAAAGTAAAAAAAAAAGGGATTTTAAGCTCTCCAAGACTTCCCGATTTGAGAATGGGCATTCCTTATGTGGAAACGGCGACATCTTCTTTCGGAAGCGACATTGTGCAAAAACATCAAGAAAGGAATAGCAGATGAGTTGATTTCAATAACCTCAAAATTTACATCTCCACCTTCCAGCTCGCTTGATACTCGGAGAGTCGGAGGACAGATAAAGAAACGGAGCAGGAAACATCCGTTTCGGTGTCTTCGGCACTCAAAAGTAGTCTGATATTGGAAGCAAGGGCATATATCTCTGCAATTTGCGATTTCGCGCGACAAACGCAGGGGCTGGGGTTACATTGATGAGGTATAATTTATGTGACTCCCCTCAGCCTTGTATCAGGGGATTTGCAAGTCTAGCGAGGGGGAGATCGTAAGTTTCTTTTGTTGGTGAGGCATGCTCTATCCACCCTTCTCCGTCCAGGTGACTTCTAATCCTTGACTTGGCATTTTAGGTTTATGGGCCTTATGGAGATGAGATTCTGAATTTCTGAGATTCTTCGCATTCGCATGTGAGATTGATGTCAAGAAATTGGATATCTTGGAATCGTATTTTCTTTTGTGGTTTAGATGGAGTTGGTTTTGCGATAAGAGAATTCGATCAGAGAAGGACTCGAGATTATTGAATCTATTGAATGTTCAAGCCCTATGTCTTTCGTATCCCAAAATGTCGAGTGTTGCTTGGTAACTGCTTGGTAACTATGGACTCACTACTCAGCCACTTCGCGTGAATTTATGGTTTCAAAGCCCGCAATGAGATGAACTCGGTTATAGAGTTATATTTTACGGGAACATTCGGAAACATGGGCGTCCATTGAGAAACATTTCTTAACTTTTCCAACAACCAAAACACTAATATTCAGGTACCACAAGCCTCCCGAGAACGGTGTTGAGATGGTAAGCGGCAAGGCAAAAGGAAATCTATCAATCCACGTTTTCAACATGGATATATTTTGGAATACGAAAATTCTATGATCAGTGTGCTATTTAGCCAAATCATCTTGTACAATGGACATGCATGCTCAGACATTGTGAGGTAAACAGCCGTGATGCATATTTAGAAATTGCTGAGCGGTACTGCTGTTAGATTGCTGCATGCACATAGCTTTAATTGAATGGTACTGTACACCCCAATCACTTTGTACGATTTAAGCATTTTTACAACAGATCTTTGCGGGTATGCATGCACTGCTATCTGAATTTAGATATCGTATCGAAGACTCTATTCACGATCGGAGACAGCGGCTCAAGAAAGGGGGCCAAAGCCCAAAATTAAGCTCAACGAAGGCATTCCATTCGTGTTCATGGTACGTGGACAGCGAATTATGACCGCAGACC